CAGAATCAACCACCTGGGGGCGGTGATAGATTCCTCTTCATGCAGGGTGTTCCTATCCCAAGACAGGGTAGAGGCTCTAAGGTCCTTGACACACAAGGTGATCCGTGCAAGGCAGGCTCAGGTGGTTCTCTTGTTGCAGTTGCTGGGGAAGATGATTTCGTGCCTATTGATTGTCCCCTAGGCCCGGCTCCACTCAAGGGCTCTACTTCTGCCCCACCAGAGGGCCAACAGGAGCAACTCGAGCATGCTGATTCCCGTTCCTCCGACCGTGAAGAGGTCCCTCCGATGGTGGACGTCGCCTGCGATCCTCAAGGACACCTCTTCAGGGAGCCCGACAGGGTGGTCGTCACCACTGATTCCAGTCTCTCCAGCTGGGGAGCGCATCTGGGCCAACTCGTGGTCCAAGGCAAATGGTCCGAGTCGGAATCCTGCTGCAGCATCAATCTTCTAGAGCTGAGGGCGGTGAGGTTGGCCCTTCGTCATTTCCATCTGTCAGTTCATTGACGTCACGTCCTCCTGATGACGGACAATGTGGCCACCAAGGTGTGGTCCCGGGGTCTGCTCTACGCTTTCCCTCCGCTTCTTCTCCTGCCACAAGTCCTATCCAAGATCATTGCGGAGGAGGCGGAGGTGATTCTCGTGGCTCCCCATTGGCCCCGGAGATCGTGGTTCGCCGACCTGGTCAGCCTATCGGTGTTCCCTCCGTGGCGGATCTCTGCGAGTCAGGTCTCCCTCTGCCAGGGGGTCCATCCGGATCCCCAGTGGCTGTAGTTGGCCATCTGGCACTTGAGGGGGACCTGCTGAGGAACAAAGGTCTCTCGGAGGAGGTGGTACGCACCATACAAGCTGCTCGGCATCCCTCCACGATGAGAATTTACGATGCCATGTGGGCCTCCTTCGCCAGATGGTGTGAGGACTGTTTCATTGATCCAGTTACTGTGCCTATGTGCCGCATTTTGGACTTCTTGCAAGGGGGCCTTGAGAAGGGGTTGTCCCCCAATACGCTGTGACGCCAGGTGGCGGCCTTGTCTACTGTCTGGGCCGAGGATCCTTCCTTGTCTCTCAGCAAGGTCCCCAGGGTACGTTGTTTCCTGAAGGGCTCCTTGAACCTACGTTATCCACCATCCATCGATACCCCACCTGGCAGCTGTCCGTGGTGCTCCAGGCGCTCACTACTCCACCTTTCAAGCCTCTGCATTCCGTTTCTCTTCGTCACATCACGCTGAAGACGGCCTTCCTGATAGCCATCACCTCTGCCTGCCGCATCTCCGAGTTGGCGGCCTTGTCGGTTCGTCAGGACCTTTGCATTGTTCATCCCGACAGGGTCGTCTTGCGACTTGATCCGTCCTTCATTCCGAAGGTTAACACCCACTTTCATAGGGCGGAAGAAGTCATCTTGCCGAGTTTCTGCCCGTGCCCTTCCCACGCACGCAAGCGCTCTTGGCACACACTAGATGTTCGGCGAGCCCTGAAGGTCTACCTCCACCGGACCTCGGACTTCCGGCAGTGTGAGGCCTTGTTCATATCTTTCCAGCCTGGTTCTCTGGGCAAGAAGGTCACCTCCACCACCGTGGGAAGATGGTTGAGGGCATGCATCGCCTCTGCCTACGAAGGCCAGGCTCGGGTGGTTCCATGTAACATCACTGGCCACTCTACGAGGAGCGCCACCACCTCGGCAGCCTGGACCACCCAGGCTTCGATCGAGGAGATTTGTTGAGCGGCCACGTGGTCTTCACCTTCTCCTTTTGTCAGACATTACAAGCTTGATGTATTTGCCTCGGCTGAGGCGGCCTTCGGCAGGAGAGTACTCCAGGCGGTTGTTCATGTGAATGAGCCCTGGGATCTTCTCTCTGCCCGCCCCGATGGACAGTAACTTGGGTATGTCCCATTGCTTGGATTCTCCAAGCGGTGCACAGGAGAAAGACCATTGGCTTACCTGAAGGGTCCTTTTCTGTGCACCACGGGAGAGTCCAACCCGCCCAGTTGTCCCGGGATATGTGGTGACATTGTCTACTGACTTGAACTTGATCTCCTTTATGACATCCTCACGGACTAGACTATTCTATTTTTTCTGGAGAACGTCACCACGCAAGGAGGCGTGGTCAGGGAAAAGACTTCTCAGTCCTGGGCAAGCAGACTGAAATAACTATTGCTTGGACTCTCCCGTGGTGCAGAGAGAAGGACCCTTCAGGTAAGCCAGTGGTCTTTTTCTTGCAAATGATTCATTACCCAAACTAGATAACATCATCAGTGCAGTTTGCTGTCAGTTTATATTTTAGCTGCTTGCTTGTTACTGTTGGTGGGGGTGATCTTAGAGATTTTTGATTGGGCTGTTTGCTTCTTTAGCAGTTTCTTGATTGGGTTGTTGTTTACTTGATTGTTGGTCTGATGTTAACCTTGGAGTTAATCTATGCTGATCTGGGTGCTGATAAATGGTGGAGGTGTGCTTGGGCTGGGGAATAAGTAAGTCTATTTACTTTCTTTCTTGTGACCCTTGGCTAGCTTATTTGTTTGCACTGCAACTAATATGCCTCTGTTCTCTTGTTCTAGGAGCAGCTTACTGCCAGTTCATGGATATGTTGTTCCCAGGGTGTATTAGTTTGAAGAAAGTAAAATTTCAAGCAAAGCTTGAACATGAGTATATTCATAACTTCAAACTTCTGCAAGCATCATTTAAAAGAATGAATGTGGATAAGGTAAAGATTCCAGTTTATGCAGAGCTGTCTATACTACTATTCAATTATCTATTTAATAGAAAAAGGATGTTTTGAAATTGATGAATGATATAAGTGATGGCTCCTTTTATAATAGCTAAAATAAATGTGATATTTTATTGGCTAGGTAGTCTTATAAATAGATATGCTCAAAAGGGAATTTGTTCTCTAATGTTTTAAAAAGCATTGAGAACATGCAATATATTACATTTCTTATAGAAATTATGTAGATGATATCAACAAGGACTACAATTTTGGGAGGAGGAGCACAAAATTTTGTATTGTAATTTTTGTTATTACATATACTATTTGGTATTACACTGTATTAGTATTTGGAAACATTTTTTATTGAAATTCTTCTGCTGGCATTTTAAATCACTGATCTGCCTTGTTTTGTCATATAGGTCATTCCAGTGGAGAAATTAGTAAAGGGACGCTTCCAAGATAACCTTGATTTCATACAGTGGTTTAAGAAATTTTTTGATGCTAACTATGATGGGAAAGAATATGATCCAGTAGAGGCTCGGCAAGGACAAGATGCAATTCCACCACCTGATCCTGGGGAACAGATTTTTAATCTGCCAAAAAAGTCTCATCATGCAAACTCTCCTACAGCAGGTATTTATCCACGATTGTGAACTATTGCTATTTACAGTTGTAATTTTTGAATAATATGTTAAAAATACAACTTTGTTACTAACTTTAAAAGACAATGGCTTTTTTCCTCACACCACATCCTACAACATACTGTGATTTATGGGGGGTATGATGTCCTCTAGAAATATATAAAATGTGATAGTGCAGTTCCCAAATAGAGTTTATATACAACTGTCTCTTTGGCCAGAAGAGTAAATTTATCCCAATAATGTTCTCTTTTAGGATGAGTTGTGTTAGGTTTTCCTCTTGCCAAAACTTGATTTCCATCTTCCTTCAGTGTTGTGGCTCAGCAGTTCTGCTGAGAGTTTTTTCGGGATACAAAATTCAGTATGCATCTGGGGCTTGTGGGAGGAAGTTTGGAGATAAAAGGAGGGATGCTGCCATGCCCCAGTCGCTGGAGTCAACGTTCCTTCGTATGTTCCGTGTTTGGTAAAACATTGTTTGATTACTAATCATGATTTATGTCTGTTACACTTGGATAAGTGCTTCGGTGTTTCATGTAAACCTGATCCATGGAGACGGTGGAAGAACTGCAGCATTTGTAAGAGCTTTTGTTTTGAATTCTTGTCGGAGATTTGTGTTTACGTTATTTTTTGGGCTCGAAGCCAGTTTGAACTGTGAACTGATAAAGAAAAGTCCTTTTAAGTTTGCCTGCCTGCATTTGTTAACGAGCCGGGAAGGGGGGGGGGGGACAGAACATTGACTAATGCCAGGAATTTCTCCTTTA